ACCACTGCTATTAACCAGATACTGGAAGTTCTGACCAGAGCAATTAGGCAAGAAATAGAAATAAAAGTCATCCAATTGGAAAGGAAGAAGTAAAACTATCTCTGAATGCATATTATGTAATCTTTTATGAAGAAAATCCTAGATACCACAAACAAGTTGTTAGACATAATAAATGAATTCAGCAAAGCAGCATGATACAAAGTCAACACACAAAAGACAATTGCATTTCTATACATGATCAATGAACAATCTGAAAATGGCATTACAAAAACAATTCCAGTTATGATAGCATCAAACATTAATCATTTAGGAATTAACTAAGGAAATGAAAGACTTGTATGGAGATGAAAAGTTAAAAACACTACTGAAAGAAATTAAAGACATAAGTAAATATAAACACATCTCATGACAATGGACTGGAAGATTTAATATTGTCAAAATGTCTGTATTACCCAAAGCAAACTACAGATTCAGTACAATCCCTATAGAAAATCTAATGATGTTTTTTTGTGGAAATAGGAAAACCATCCTAAAATTCATGTGGAATCTCAAAGGACCCTTAATAGGCAAAACAATCTTGAAAAAGAACAAAATTGGAGGACTCATACGTCCTGATTCCAAAATCTATTACAAAGCTACAGTAATCAAAACTGTATGGTATCAGCAAAAAGACAAGATATACAGACCAACGGGATAGAATAGAGAGAGCCTGGAAATAAACCCTCACATAAACAGTCAAATGACTTTTGACAAGGATGTCAAGACCACTAAATAGGGAAAAAACAGTCTTTTTGACAGATGGTACTGGGAACACTGGACATCCACATGCAAGTGAATGAAGTTGTACACTTACTTTAAACCATATATAAAGATTAACTCAAAATGGACAAAGGACCTAAATGGAAGACATAAAGCTATAAACTCTTAGAAGAATATTTAGGCAAACGCCTTACAACAGTGGATTTGGGAATGAGTTCTTGGATATGATGCCAAAGGCACAGAAAACAAAAGGAAAAAATGGGTAAATTGGACTTCATGAAAAATTATAAATTTTGTACATCAAAGGACACACAATGCACAGAGTAAAATGCACCCCAATTGCACACAGTGTATACCCACAGAATGGGAGAAAATGTTTACAAATGATAAAGGATTAATATCCAGAATATACAGAAAACTAGAACTCAACAACCAAAAGAACCCCATGCAAAACTGGGTAAAGGATTTGAATACCTATGTCTTCACAGAAGATACACGAGTGGCCATTAAACACATGAAAAGATGCTCAACATCACTTGTAATTAGAGAAATGTGAATCAAAGCTATAAGGAGATTCCGTGTCACGTTTATTTTGACAGCCACTATAAAAAAGAGAAAATAATAAGTGTTGTTGAGCATGTGGAGAAGCTTGGAGTCCATGTGCACTCTTGGTGGAGTGTATAAAATGGTGCAGTTACTGGGTTTAAACCAGAATGGCTGTTCCTCAAATAATTAAAAATAGAATCACCATATAACCCAGCAATTCCACTTCTGGGTATATACCCAGAAGAACTGAAAGCAGGGGCTCAAAGAGATGCTTGCACACCACATTCACAGCAGCACTACTCACCATAGCCCAAACATGGCAGCAGCCCAAGTGTCCACTGACAGACGAATGGACAAACAAATGTAGTCCCGTCCATACAATGGAATATTATTCAGCCTTAAAGATGAAGGAAATTCTGATGCCTGCTACAGCATGGGGGAGCCCGCCCGGAGGACACGAAGCCCAGTGAAATGAGCCCGTTGCACAAATACTGGATCATTCAACTTGTATGTAGTGCTTAGTCAAAATCATAAAGACAGAAAGTACAATGGTGGTTACCAGGAGCTGGAGGAGGGGAAAGTGAAGAACTGTACATTAAAAAATGGCTACAATTGAAAATTTTCTGATATATGTATTTTAACACAATAGAAAGAAAAGGCACAGAAACGTGGGAAATGTGGCATTGAAAAGACTGTGACGAGGACACTTGTTTACAGCACAGCAGCCGAGGCGAGGATGCAGGGGGTCACCTCGCCCACTCCCAGGTGGGAGCATGCCTCAGCAGTGCAGCCTGTTCCCCCTGAGTTTGTCTGCAAATAATGCCAAATGTACCCAAAAACTGGTGTTGGGGTTACAGATGCATTTCACCAAATGCACTAAGCTGGAAATCTGCACATAATGAGGACCAACTATACAGCAGCCTATAGTGTGGCCTCTGGAGACTGGCTTTTTCCGCCTCACCAGCTCTTGGAGGCACTCTGTACCCTGCACTCCTCCGGGGTTCCCTGTGCTCTGCACCCCAGTCATATCCCGTTGTGTGGATGGACCACATGTCGTTTATCCAGCCACCCATCAACAGACATTTGGCTGTTCCTACCTTTTGGCTGTCATGCATAATGCCCCAGTGAACATTCACATACAGATGTTTATGTGGAAACATTTTTTCCATATCCTAGTATTTTGTTGAGGTGTTTTTACATCTATATTCACAATGGGATGTTGGACTATAGTTTATTGTGATGTTTGTGTGTGGTTTAGGGAAAAAGGTTAATAAGTGGCAAACAAATGAATTTTCCTAGATGTAACTGGTGGTTTCTTTTGACATCTGTTAGAAGAATGCTGACTTTACACTTGCGCTAGTAACAGTTTCTTCTCGAAACATATGTTAATGTACAGAAAGCAAATGACCGAGTGGGTATGCCTGTAGTGGAAACATGAAAGTGTACTGTGGCCAACATCTCAGAACCCTTGCTACAGGGAAAGGAGACGAGACCTGAGGGTCACTTCCCAGGGTGCTCCCCTTCTGCCTCGCTGGCCATGGACCCGCCTTTCACACACTGAGCAAGTCTGCCCCACACGTGGTGGGTGTCAGTGTGGCTTCTGCTTCCTGCTGCCCCAGAAGAACAGCTCGCCCTGCCTACCCCCTGGATACAGTCTTACAGGTAGAATCCACTCAGGACATGAGAAGAGAGCTCCAGTTCTTCAATGACGGGATGGAGGGGCTGGCGTGAACGTGGAAACATTTTCCTATTTGAACCCTGATGACAAACCAACGTGGTCCCTACTCAGCTGTCTTACAGACGCGAACCTTAGGGCTCAGCTGTCACAGAGACAGTCAGAAGGTGGGGAGGTAAGGTCGAACTCATGTTCCAAGCTCCTCATTGTCACATGACAGAGAGAGGCAGACATGTTCGTGCTGACAACACAAGAGAGCTAGACGCCCCATGCCAGCTGGTTAAACTTCAGGCTAAGGTCTGAGGGCAGAGGAAGGAGAAGTAAGTAATAAAGACAGAAGGCAGGGCCCACCAGCAAGCTGCAGTGAGGCCGTCTGAACTGCCCATGGGCAGCCGCCGCGTTCCCACCCCAGACACACAAGCTGGGCCTTCCTCTGCAACATCAGCTCCAGCGAACCAGCAGTGCGGGAGCCAGATGTCACCAGCACAGCATCTTAGAGGAGAGTGCGCCTTCTCTCCTGCCTGCAATCCCTCTTCCCTCACAGTGAAACAAAGACAGGTTTCCTATTTGATGGGCAATGAAGTCTGTGTGCTCACCTGTAGCTCACCCTCCAACCCTTGTGAGCAACTGCTGTGATCTAGGGTGGTGGGGACAGAGCTGCAGGATGTAAGACACAGGGCAGATGGATGAGAAGCCAGTCTGAGAGTGCAGGTGTGACTACAGCAGAGCCAGGTTGGTACAGAGGAGCGGGGGTCCTGACGCCCAAGCAACTCTGCAGGACCCATGACATGTCAGCCTGTCCCCCAGGCCCTGTGAGGAAGAGACAGCCGTGTTGACTTCTCAGAACCATCAGCAGGACACTCAGGCCCAGCAAGGCCTGCAGATGGAAAGCTTTCTGATCTTGTGCCTGAGACCAGTCTGAAGTGAGGTCAGCAGACCTCCTGCCCATCCCCCTCTCTGCAGTCCCTCTCATCACACAAACCAGGACATTCACAGAGCCCTGCCCACCAGCTAGCACATTGAGCACTTGGCACATGTTGCCTGCTTACCCTGGGATAACTGCTGGAGTGCCATCCTGCAGAATTGAGAGGAAGGAGGGGGTGCCTGCCCTCTGGGAGAGCCCATGCCAGCTCCATACCTATGCTCTCACCAGGCTGGGTGCAGGGCTCCCACACTCTGCGGTCCTTCTGCCCAGCCCACCTGCTGCTGCGTATAGTCTCTGCTCAGGCTCCCCCCACCCTAACCCTAATCCACTTCCCCAGAGACACTACAACCTCTCTCCTTCCTCCTGTACCATGGAAGTCCACAATGGCAAGGAAGGTGAGCTGAGCTGCCCCTCCAGGGCCAGCGCTCAATATAGGCAGGAGCTGAGCCACCCCTTGGGGGCCGGTGCCCACTGTGGGCAGAAGGTCCACTCAGGGAACAAGGGACAGTCAAGACTAAGTCAATCATGAAGTACCGTTTTCCAAATGTGAGTCCTCACTGGTAGGTGGCCCTTTCCTTCAGCATGTTATTTCAAATGTTAAGTTCTCCCAACTTTAGAGATGAGAAAACAAAGCAGAATGCAGCTCCAAGAAGTGAACGGCACAAGCCCTCACCCACGTGAGTGGTTTATTTCCACCAAATGATACAGCGTAGATATGGTATTTGGAGCTAAAAGCCAACCAGAGTTGTACTTTACAGCCAATATCTTTCTCCAATCCAAAAGGACAGTAGAAAACCTACTAGAAACCTTAAGTTTAATTATTGGATTACTGGCTCATGCCTTCTTGTAACTGAACTCACTTGCTTCCATTTAAATGCTGAAAGTATCATTATTATTTTTCCCTCAGTATTTAAAAATCAGAAGTCAACACTTTTAAGGTAGATTATGCAGTTTAAATATTTTTAAGCCTTATCAATCAACAACTACTGTAATCCCCCACCACAGGTTAGAAAATAGAACTACAGGGGGTTCTGTAATGACAGACAAAATAGAAAGCCGTGTTTATCTGTGAGATGTGCTCAGCCTCCTGGGTACCTCGTTTCTGGATGAAGACCCTGAGTAGAGGGTTTGCGCTCGAGACTGCCTTGCAGAAGTTGTCATCATTGTTGATGGGCAGCAGGTCGCCATGCACGTCGGCGTAGCCGATGGTCACCTCTGTGTTGGCGATGTGATGAGTGTGCACGACCAGCTTATAGAAGTCCTCAAACCTCCCAGGCTTTTGACGGTCCAAGGAGAACCTCCGGAACTCAGCCCCAAACTGTTACACAAGAGAGAGGGGTAAATGCTCAGCAGGAAGAGGGCACTAGAAATAAGGTGTGGCTTGTTCACCTAGCAGACAAGTGTCCACTGTGCCTCTAAGAGGTCGGTGATAAGGTGGTCAGCAGTGTCCCTGTTCCCATGGAGCTCATGTAAGCACACCAGGGAATGGAGATAGCAGTTGGGGGGCACAGCTCACTCAACAGTGACTCACGTCCTGAGGTCAGGCAGGTGACAGAGCTCAGGCTGCAGGGAAAAGGCAATGTCAGAATTAATGGTACAAAATAGGAGTTGGTGTTTAGCGAGGGCCCTGGAGCAGAATGTGCACAAGCCTGAGGCAGAGTCAGCCACTCAGGGGCAGGAGGGGAACAAGGGCCAGCTGAAATTTCTGGACTTTTCTTAAGGGCAACAGAAAGTCCTGTCACAATTTTAATTTTAAGCAAGGAAGTGACTTGACATGATCTACATTTTAAAAGGACCAAACAGCTGTACTTCAAAGGCTCAGAAGAGGAAGCAAAATTGAAAGAAGGAAGAAACCTGGTAAAAAAAGATGCTTTACAAAACTCAGGGAGGTAGGAGCATGGGTTCTGAGACTGGCCAAAAAGACTAAGCAAGTTTTTTAAAAAAAGATGGTATTCTCTCTTCCTGCTCTGGAAACACCCAGTTTCCACCTCTTTCCCAGCAACCCCAGCACCAGCTCCAAGGGTCATGGAGACGCTGCAGGGCTCTAGGCCACCTGCCAGGAGAAGACCTCGATCACTCCCATGGGCTGAACTGTCCAGGGGTGCAAGGATGCCGCCTGTTTGTCCAGCCTGAGGTTCTGGCACAGGACTGGGTGTTGTTCCTCACTCGGTGACAGGGACCTTCATTCATCAGGCAGGACAGATTCATAGCTCTTCAATGTAACTGAAAATCACACTGGTTCCAAAGTACACAAAAATGAAATGTCTAGTGTTTATACAAATGAGTTATTACATCATTTGTATGTTATATCAACTAGGCAAGGGCAAATCAACTCAAACCACATGGGTTTGTGTGGTTCTCAAATTTGGGCAGACATCAGAATCACTTGGAGGCTCCCCAAAGTTCTGGAACTGGCTAATCTGGAATGTAGCCCATGACTCCATTTCCAACAAGTCTCTAGGAGAAGCTGAAGCTGTTGGGCTGGGGGCAGCACACAAAAACTGCTGGTTTGGGGTTTTTTTTGGAATTAAGGTATCATTGATATACAATCTTATGAAGGTTTCACATAAGCAACATTGTGGTTACAACATTCACCCATATTATCAAGTGTCCCCACAACCCCATGGCAGTCACTGTCCATCAGCGTAGTAAGATGCTGTAGACACACTACTTGTCGTCTCCATGCTATGCGGCCTTCCCCATGCTCCCCCCCTATATTCTGTGTGCTAATAATAATGCCTCTTGATCCCCTTCTTCCTCCCTCCCCACCCAACTTCCCCAAACCCTCCCTTTTGGTAACCGTAGTCCCTTCTCAGAGTTTGTGAATCTGCTGCTGTTTTGTTCCTTCAGTTTTTCTTTGTCACTATACCCCACAAATGGGTTAAATCATTTTGTACTTGTCTTTCTAGACCTGACTTATTTCACTGAGCATAATACCCTGTAGCTTCATCTATGTTGAAAAACCACTGGACTTAAGGGAGTGAGTCTCTAGACCTCAACCTCCAGGAACCAGCCTCCTGCCCCATGTCCCTTTTCAAAAGCAAAGAAAACAAGCTCCTGACCTCTCTGCACTGCCCCAGGAATAAAATCTTCAGTACAGGACAATCCAAAATACTGAACTGGGAAAAGCCACCTTTAACGAAGGCTGTCCCTCTGACCACACTGGTAAGGGAACAGGCTCAAATTCAGCATCCTCCAGAAGGGGTGAAGGGGCATGTTTTCTCCATCCCCGCTTCCAGAGGTGTCTCCCCTTGGAGCAGGGTCTGCACAGGCCGATGAGAGCGAATCCCTCCCTCCACTAGGTAAAGATAAGCATTATTCTTCTCCCCAGTATTTATTCAAGCATGCATGGTTAGCTGGCACAGGGCAAGCAAGGCAGATTCTCTCCAACACAGGCTACCCCCTGCTGCGACACGACTTTTCAAGACATGAGGGATTGAGACTTCAACAAAAGTTTATGTAATTTTTCCCCAGTGTGGTGATCCAGCCACATTATGAATGTTCACTTCAATAACACAGATCATCTTTCCAATGTCATGTGTCTCATATATGCTTCCAGAGCAATCAGTTTTTATCAGTAAATGCCTTCTTTTCATCAAATACATAAAAGAGTGTAATCAGTTATTATGAAACCAGTAAGAGTATTTCTGACTATTATCTAGAATCCTAGTTGAATATTCCTCAAACTGGACATAACACATGCTCACTTTCATCCAAGGGACCCTGGCCGCCACTCATTCCTGCCACTCCTACTAGACTCCACCACATCCTATAATTTGAGTACCCTTGAACTCCCTGGAGTTGAAGATCCAAGTATAACTTTTGACTCCCCTAAAACTTGATTACTAAAGCCTAGGCTGCCTGGTTGCCTTACTGATAACTTAAAAAGTCAATTAACACATGTTTTGTATATGTGTTACATACTGTATTCTTACAGTAAAGAAAGCTAGGTAATTTTTTCAACTTGCTGCAAATCTCTGAAAAATTTTCCAATATGTTCATTGAAAAAAATCCACACATTCAGGTAGACCCGTGCAGTTCAAATCATGTTCTTCAAAGGTGTAATGAGAAACATGTATTAAGCTCTACAATGTTTAAGTCATAACTGCATTTGCTAATTAAGGTATGTCTCAATTTGTTTCTCAGTTCTTTCAATAATTTTCTTCAAAATATGTATAAACATTTTAATTTGAAATGAAAATTAATCTAGACTTTTTCTGACAGAAAGCAAGTCTGATTTTGGTTTGATATTGGGGCTGGCTTTGTCAACCCAACTGTACGGTAAACATGCCTCGAAGTTGAATGAGCTCCACAGTTTGGCAAAAAGAGGTGTGAAATGGGAATATTAGCATTTTTTATAACTTTTAAAATTGTGGTGCAATACATACAACACAAAATTTACCATCCTAACCATTCTTAAGTGTACAGTTCAGTGGCATCAAATACATTTGCACTGCTGTGCAACCATCCCGACCGTCATCTGCCTTGTACCCATTTAACTCCCCATTCTTGTCCCCTCAAGTCCCCCTGCCACTTTCTGTCTCTATGATTTGAGAACTCTAAGTACCTCATACCAGTGGAATCATACAGTCTTGTCTTTTTTTGTGACCGGCTTATTTCACTTACCAGATATATGACTTGCAAACGTTTTCTCCCATTCTGTGGGCTGCCTTTTACTCTGTCAGTCTTGGTCCTTTTGAGGGGAAATGTTAACAGCTGTAATCAGCATGCTGGGATGAGAAGGTGGGCTTTCTGATATCTCTAACTTGCCTGCTAACTTGGGCCAGGCACCAAAATGCAAGTGTTTGTTACAACTTTCCTCAGTAAGTATTAAGCTTCTTTTGAGATTGGTAACTAGTTTACAGAGAGGAGATGACTTCACAGAACAGGACAGCTCTCTCCGAGGCATCTGTGTGTACCACAGTGAATTTGTGAATTTGTGAAGCCCTGACATGGGAACCAACATCCAATGGAGACCATGAGCATATTAGGGGTGGTGTGTCTCCAGTGAACTTAAATGTGTGCTCACAGGAGTTCCTATACCTTAATGCAGTGCTTTTCAAATGTCACATACCCATATAGAATTTTGAAAAATTACCAGTATATAAAGGATAATATATTTTTAAGTTGGCATCTAATGTTTTCATAATAAAAATAAACAGCTGTAAATGATATGATTTCCAGCATGCTCTAAGTCTACATTTCTTTTAAAAATAAACATTTTATCAGAAGGTCTTTTAAACATAGTCAACAGCACTGAAATGTCATTGTGATTTGCTTTTAATGTTTTAAACACAACCATTATGTGTTTTAAAATAGAATGAACAAGCTCTTTTATAATTATTGGAAATTCCACAAGGTTCTTTTCCTCTTTGATCTTGTTTCTGCTACACTGCTCCGAGGGGACTTAATCCTAATATTTTATCCTAGTAATTTATGCTTGATTACTGTTATCACTATTCTCTGAAAGAAAAGTAGATAAATTGAAGTTAAACATTATTTTTTACTTGGGCATAAGGTCTATTTGTGAAGAATATTTCTAAGTTGTTGTCTAAGGGGTCTGGAGCTTCAGTTTTGAGAGACGGAAAGAGTTCTGGATTGGATGCATGAAAATGCATGGAATTAACGTAGTAAAAAGGTTTCTAGACTGAGTTATTACAATCATTATATCATGATTGGAACATAGTTATAAAATTTGGTAATTATTAATGCTCCAAAGTGACATTTAAAACATCTTTCTTTTAATGCTATTAATTTAATAGCAAATGTTTGTTGCTAATTAAGGCAGGGGCAGCGTCTGCGTGGGAGTCAACACTGGGGGGCCTTTTCATGTCAATGAGCAGAGGGCAGCAAGCTCCTCAGGAGTCCAGGCGCTCATCTCTCTGACCTTCACCAGGTCGTGTGCCAAAGGCAGGTGATCAATCACACAGTGGCTCACCACAAAAGTTATCTTTACTAGTCTATTAGCTGACAATTCCATTAGTGCATGTTTCAGAACCACTTTACTTACAAGATGTATTGCCCAGTCATTACAGCCATTCACCTTTTCGATTTCTGATAGGTATAACAGGAATTATGTGATAATGAATTCTACCTGATAACTCCTTCATTTAGAGGTAACTTGTTTAATCCAATACAGTGAGGAAGTAAAAATATAACATTAGTACCCCATGCTAATGTTTTTTGCCTAAAGTGCCTTTATCATAATGAAGTTAGACCCTTACCTAACACCATTACAAAAATTAACTCAAAATGGACCATGACTTAATGTCAAGCCTAAAACTATAAAATTCTTAGATTCAGACATAAGGCAAAAGGTTTAGGATACTGGGTTTGGCAATCATCTCTTCGACATGACACCAAAGGCACAGGTAACGAGAGAGAAAAAACAGTCATTGGACTTAATGAAAATTAAAATCTGTGCTTCAAGAGGCTATAAAAATGATTACTACTCAGAACATATACAGAACTGCGAAGCGAACTGTGGTGTGTATATATAAGGGAAGGAAGGAAATTCTGGCATGTGTGGTAACATGGACAGACCTGGAGGACATTGTGCTGACTGAAAAGAGCTTGTGGCAGAAACACGAACACCGTATGATTCCACTTAGATGAGGTTCTTAGGGGAGCCAAAATCATATGGACAGAAAGTAGAATGGCTCCCAGGGGCTATACAGGAAGGGAGAAATGGGGAGCTATCATTTAATGGATATAGAGTTTCAGTTTTATGAGACAAAAATCATGGAGATGGATGCTGGAGAGGCCACACAACAGTGTCAATGTATTTAATACTGCTGAAGTGTACGCTTAAAAATGGTTAAATGGTAAATTCTATGTTATGTGTTTTTTACTACAATGAAAAATGGAGGAAGAAAAGAAATGATGGGGAGGGAGATGTCCAGAGGAAGCGTTGAAAAGCTCTGATATATTCCTGGAGATCTAGAAGGCCACATGCACGTGCAGGGCTGTGTGTGGTGAGGAAAGACCTGGGAAGGCTGTAATCTCGTATCTGGTCAACCTTGGAATTCTGTGCAGTCAGAAAGTGAAAGCTGAAGCAGAGTTGTGAACTGCTGGAGTGCAGAAGATGGACCCTCCACAGACACAGAGTCCCTGAGCAAAGGCTGGGAGATTTACTGTTTCAAATAATTTAAGGAAATTTCTGTCCAGTCCACAAATGACCATTAAGCTAACTGAGCACTTTGGTGGTCACATATGACAAAGAATACTTTAAAGAATTAGTCCAAGGAAGTCACTACATAAACAGTAAGCAATGACCGCAAGGCCTTGTGAGATGGGGTATGACTTCCACAGTTACCACATATGACTTAAAATGTCTAGTTTTCAACAAAATTATGAAATATATAAAGAAACAGAAGAACTCCCATGCAGAAGAAAATAAAGGACGTGATGTCCCTGAGGGAGCCCATACACTGCATTATTAGACAAGAGTTTATATTAGCTGTTATAATTATGTTCAAATAACTGAAGGAAACCATGAAAGCAATGTCTCTTTGAATGGAAAAAAATATCAATAAAGAGATAAAAATCACTTAATAAAAGAGCCAAACAAATTCTAGAGTTCAGAAATTATAATACTGAAATGAAAAATTCCCTAGAGGGACTCAACAGCTGAGCAGAGGTGGCAGGAGAGAGAATCAGCAAGCTTGTAGAGGTCAGTCAGACCATCCAGGCTGTGGAGCAGAGAGAAAGGAAGGAAGAGAACCGAACGGGCCTATGGCGCACTGTCAAGCACCCCATGAAACATCCCTGTGAGCCCCAGAGGAGAGGAGAGAGGGAAAAAGACAGAAAGGATATTTGAAGAAATAATAGCCAAAAACTTGCCAAATCTGATGAAAAAGTATAATCTGCATATCCAAAACTTCTACAAACTTCAAGTAGAATAAACCCCATGAGAACCATGCCTAGAAGTACCATAGTCAAACCACCAAAATCCAGAGCCAGAGAGAACATTGAAAGCAGCATAAGGCTACACACTATGTTCAGAGGGATGTCTCACAGGAGCGCAAGCTTGGTGCAACACCCAACACTTAATGCAATACACAATGTTAATAAAGGACAAAAGCCACATGATCACATCAAAGGATGCAGAAAGAGCATTTGACAAAATCCAACACCTCTTCATGATCTAAAACATTCAACATACTAGGAATAAAAGTGCATCTCCTCATCTTGATAGAGGGCACCTATGAAAGTGTCACAGCTAACATGGTACTTAATGTTTAAAGACAGCATGGTATCACCCTGAAATGAGGAACAAGATGAGAATTTTAATTTGCACATGTTCTATTTAACATTGTAATAGACAGTAAAAGGCATCTAGGCTGGGACGGATGAACTTCTTAATGTAGAACAATAATGTTCTAACATTAGATATTGATAATGGCTGCACAACTGTGTGACTCACTAAAAAAATACTAAATCTTCACCCCTATGTTTACCGCAGCACTATTCACAATAGCCAAGAAATGGAAGCAACCTAAGTGTCCATCAGTAGATGAATGGATAAAGAAGATGTGGTACATATGCACAATAGAATATTATTCATCCATAAGAAGAAAACATCCTACCATTTGCAACAACATGGATGGAGCTAGAGGGTATTATGCTCAGTGAAATTAGCCAGGCAGAGAAAGACAAGTACCAGACAATTTCACTCATCTGTGGAGTATAACAACAAAGGAAAAACTGAAGGAGCAAAACACCAGCAGACTCACAGAACCCAAGAATGGACTAACAGTTACCAAAGGGAAAAGGATTGGGGAGGATGGGTGGGAAGGGAGGGATAAGGGGGTGGAAAAAACAAAGGGGGCATTATGATTAGCATGTATAATGTGGGGGGGCACGGGGAGGGCTGTACAACACAGAGAAGACAAGTAGTGATTCTATAGCATCTTACTACGCTGATGGACAGTGACTGCAATGGGGAACTTGATGGGGGGAGTCTAGTAAACGTAATGTTCCTCATGTAATCGTAGAGTAAAGATACCAAAAAAAAATACTAAATCTACACCTTAAGGGTGTGAATTTTATTTCATGTGAATTATAGCTTATACAACTGTTATTTTTTTAATTTAACCTCAAAGAATAATTTTCTTAAACAGCCAGTTGAAGGAAGATTGGAAGCTGTGTTCAGAAACATGCATTGATAGGGTTTAATGGAAGCTCTGCTTTTGCTCTAGGCAAAGGGAACCCCAAGGGACCAAGGGTCAAAGCATCTGCTGTCAGCACACACCAATTTAGAAGATGAGGACTTAAGAACCTGGGAATGCCACCCCCCCACCCCGCCATTACTGTGGGACCTTGTGGAGGAGAAGCAGGACGTGAACCTTCGTCCAAGCTGGTCGGGCAAGCTTTTCCAGTTCCAACTGGGCCCACAGTGTTAACTGGTAAGGAGGACAGAGGGCAGGCTTCAGAACAGGGCGGAACTTGCCACCCTCACACATTCATCTCCACCCTGACCCCACACTGCAAAAGGCCCTCAGTCACTCTTCTCCAATTCAGAAACTAAAACTTTATATGAATATTTCTGGAGTCACAAGGCTCTAGCAATATAAATCTATTTTCATCATTCAATGTCATATGAGTCCAAGGATAAATATTACCATTACCGTAATTTTTTCTTATTTTCCAGGTTAAAAATACTAAAAAAGTAAAATTCTCTTAGTCTTGATACCTAAGAGGTTTCTGTACACTCACTCATATCTTTAAACAAACCCATTTTGTGTAGAAACATACTTAATTCAGAGTATGAAATGCTCACCTGGTGTGCACGAGTCTGGCTGGCTGTCTTCACACACACAAGTAAACTCTAAGCTTCCCCTCTGGAAGTGCCTGTCCGAGCCCCCACACTCTGGGGTCAGAGAAAGTGAGAGATTTGCCAGGGCTGTAGAGCTGTTTGATACAGGCTTGGAATAAGACCCCATCTCCTGATTCTGGTCCCATGCTCTGTCCACAGTGCTAAGCCACTCCAAGCTAACCCAAAACCTCATTCTTCCCACAACTGAAAACATGGTCCCTAATTTCATACTATTTACTTAAAAGTTTCAAAATGGCACATTTTTGATGATTAAGATACAGCTCTGGCTCAAATACCATCCCTAAAGAAACTACAGCACCACTTTTCAGTCTGAGTAAAGCAGCCACCATCGTCCTGTTGGCTAATGTCAAAGGGAAGAGAAGGAAAACCATGAACAGCATCTCCTTCTCACCCAGGGCCCCCCGTACTGTCGTCTTTTTAACTAGGGAGGGCACGTAGAGCCTGAACACCATGTGGTGTCCCCAAACAGTGGTCAGCAGGACCAGCAAATCATGGTTTCCATCACTTGAGGAAATGCGGCAGGAATTCAAGCCTCACACATGGTTGTATTTCCAATAGCTGCTTGTGGGTGGGAGATGCACATGTTACTTTTAATCTCAAACCACTTGGGAGACATATATTATCCCCTTCATTGACCCAGAGGGGCCAAATCACTCGCTCAAGTGACTCCTCACCACTCTTTTGCCAACCCGCCTACCCGCACACCAGCTCACCTCCCTGTTCTGGTTGGCACTCACAAAAAGGGGAATTGGATGAGGGTAAAGGTCTCAAACTGAATTTCTCTTCTCCTTTGTCATTTCCTTAGAATCTCACTGTTTTTAAAAACGATTCTTTCCTTTCTGCATATATATACACATATTGAGGTAGCTTTTACCTCTGAAACAGTCAGAAAAGCCGACTATATGTGCCTGTGAACATACTCACTCTGGAGAAACCAGTAGGCTAGACAAAAAAAGGTGAGGTGGAGGGGTGGGAATCAAGGTCCAGCCTCTGGCATGACACTGAGGTGCCGTCTGGAGCCGTCCCAGTGCTGTGTGGGCCAGTGCACAACGGTTCCAACATGGCACCCTCTGTCCAAGACACTTCTGTAGTGTGGGAGAGGGTGTTCTTCCAGGCTTCTCTAACATGCATACTTTTTAAAAGATTTGGGATTGCCGACTGTTTGGCATGCTCTTCTTTATGCTTTGAATTGGTATAGAATCACATAGCTCAAAATTCAAAAGGTATTCCATAAAGAGTCTCCCAGCTACCCAGTCCCCTCCCAACAGGAACCGAAGATTTCAGTTGTATGTGCCCTTCAAAAGGTATCTTAAACATTTGGAAGCAATGTATGTAAACTGTATTCCTCTTTTCTAAACAAATGATAGCACACTGCTCATACTGGCCTTCCCCATCGTTTTCCCATTTATCTGCTATAATTTGAAAACATTCTTTTGCTGGATGCTTGTGGTCCCGGGTGGGAGGGGATTATCTTGGACTCCCAGATGCCTGAGTTGAGTGAGAAAGGCTGAGTTACCTGGCTCCTGGTTTCTAAGATACACACAGGAACAAGGTTATCATCAGATTCACCAGGCAAGGCCATAGGAACCAGGAAATAAGGAATAGTCTTTAGCAGTTAATATGTTTTTAGTTAATATCTTGGGTCACCTCTAGGATCCCTCCCAAACCCCAAGCAACCACAGATACGTAATCATCTGAGCGATGTCAGGAAACCGCCACAGCACTCCACCGGCCGGCAAGCCCTGGGAGTGGGGTCTGCTCTCTCCTAGCACAGTCCCTGGTATGTAGTAGGCACTCAAATCATCACTGAATTAATTAATTAAATCTCTGTTAACCAGTTTTAAAATAAAACTGTAGAATTTTAACTAAGTAGACATTTTAGCTGACAAAATCACCAAACAGGAACACAGGAGATTTGACATGAAGAGACAAACGAGGTCCCATGCTCCCCAGCAGCCTTGCCCTGAGCCCTATCAGGCTACAGCTATATGCCAACCCCCTTCAGAATGAGGTGGAGAGGTTCCCCCACCCTGGCAAAAGCAAGGACACAGTGTTTCAAGGAATAATTGCAAACAGGTGAGTAAATAGTTGACCTTGGGGTCTTTAAGTACATAAAAAACCATGACTGTGACTTTGTTTCAGAGGGCATGGCTCAGCATTCAGTGGCAGTTTCAAAGACACAGGGGCTCATGTGGTCTCAACTATACCTAGCACTGCCTGAACGTATTGGGTGCTTTTTTAAGAAAGCCTTTGTTTCCAAATTACTTTCCAAGAAGGAAGTTAGTCATTCTGATCACTTACTTTCTACTCTAGGGATAAATGTGGGTGGGGGCCCTCAGGTCAGTGACCAGGCTGTGGGCACCACATGCTTCCTTCAGGCAGATGGACTCTCCCCAGAGCCTAAGGCCACTTTCCCCCTGCTCCTCACCCATGTCCCTCACTTGGGCAGAACTGACTCCAGAGAACAATGTCTGAGAGGCATCACTTGCTTGGGCAGCTCACACAGATAAGTGACCCCAAGAACCATCAGACCATCAAACTGTCATTTTAGGTGACACGTTATCTCTTTATTTGCACTCATTCCCTCAAACTACCAAGTAGGAACTCATTTATTCATTAAACAAATATTTCCCTGCACTGGGCTTTACAGTGTGTAAATGAAAAATGTCATCTCCATTCTATCCGCCACAGACCCTGGCATATAGCAGACACTCAAAATACATTCCTGGAATAAATCACTAGTAAGGTACAGCCCTGCTTTAATCATCAAACAAGTATTTATGGAGTGGCTCTAAGCCCTGGGTACGATCCCACGCACTGCGGAATGTGAGGGAACAAACAAAAAAAACGTCTGCCCTCATGAAACATACCCTGGTGGGGAAGATAAGACAGTGAACGCTAAAAATAAAGATGTACATTGTGAAGCATGTCCGAAGTCATAAATGCCATGGGGACAGAGGTGAGGACAGGAGGAGATGGAGAGCAGAGACCGCAGGGACACACAGTCTGCTGGGAACTATGTGGGAGCACAGAGGTCACCGAACGAGGGCCACCTGGGTCCCTCTGGCAGGCCCAGTGCTGGCCTTCACCACTGCTCTGGGGCTCCCAGGGCTCGGGACTCTGCCTCCCCAAGCTGTGGGTGCCGCACCTGCAGGGAGACTCCACACAGCAGTGCGCTGGCAGCGCTGTGCGCGGAGTGGGCTGCCGGCCACAGCACCCACCGGCGCTCTTGGTCACGTGCCAACACATCGCTTTCTAGACAGCAGTATTTGACCTACGAGACCTTCAGGGCGAAACCCTCCAGCTATCCTGAGACTGCCGTCATCTCGGGGGGTCCTAGACACCTGACATCCACTGACTGCTCCCCAGAAGGGCACCTGGAGATCATGCAGCGCGAGTCCTCGGGCCGTTTTCCTCTTGGAAAAGCTGGTGTTCGTCGTGGATAAACAACAGCCCTGATGGGCACCCAAGGGCATGATGGTGCCCCTTCACACACAAGCAACCCCTTGTCGGTAAAGTCTCTTACAGCACAGACTGAGAACGTTATGCGCATGTTCCCTGGTGACCTCCGCAGCCTTCGGAGCCCCGCACGCTGGGTGCCCCCGGAACTTTGCCCGAGGCCCCGCCCCGCCGGAGCCACCCTGGAACTCCCAGGCAAGAGCAGGTCTGCGGAAGCATAGATTCTCATGGAAAATGTTTCTCAAAATGTTCTTGGTAGTGAAATATGGAAACTGTACAAGCTTCCACGCAGAGGAAGCACATGCCCAGTATGAAATATAATGAAGCCAGAAGCGCTTTCAGAAACCAGGAAACTTTATAATACAGAAAGTTTAAGAGAACAACACAAAGCTGAATGTACAGTGTGACCCCAGCTAGGTCGAAATCCACAAAGCAGCAGGCCCCAGCCTGGGGCAGGCATCCTGCCTGAGCCCAGAGCCACGCACCTGGCCCCCCTCCGGCCAGTGACGCCAGGACCCCTAGGCTGGCCAGGGAGCAGGCGTCCTAAAGTTCTCGAGCTCCTCCCAGGGTGTGCTCCTTGAACCAGCAGCATCGCCTGGGACCTGCTGGAGATGCATGACCTCTGGCTCCACACCTAGGGAATCCGAATGTGCGTTCTAAGATTCCCAGGCACCCAGGTGCGCAGTGAAGTCTGGAAAGCAAGGTCATAAAATCCCAGTAAGCATCTTTCTAGTCACCGCTATGGGCTGTTTTTTACTATTCATTCATTCAGCAGGGTTTTACTGAATGCCAGATAACGGCTGGGGCTCCACACTCATGGTGTGTCTTCATGGAGCTGATGGTTTGAGAGCCTGATGCTGAACAGCAATCATACGGGCAAATGTGTAATTACAAATTCAGAAATGCATACAGAGAAACTATGACACAGGCCCTGATTTAAACTGTGTGTCAGAGCAAAGGAAATAATCAGGCAAACTGAAAGCAGGAGGCTTCACCCACACCACAGCCTGAAGGAGCTCAGCTGGCCCTTGGAACTAGGAGGGCAGGCTAGGCACCAGAGGTGCAGGATCTCCGTGTGCATTAGGGGGCCACACCATATCCTGCCATTCGTCAAGATCGGTCTGGGGGTCACAGTCAACATTCAGAGAAAGAAGACTCATACTCTCACTGTCCAGGGTGGGGTTCACACGCCCACCTTCGAACCAGTCACTGGCAAGGGAACAGGACTCCCTGACACCCTGGAAGCCCCCCACCTTCTATCATAAAGAGGGGCAGATCCTGTCCTCAAAGATCTCAGAGCTTGCATTTGAAGGGGGGAAAGCAAGCAGCACAGGACCATTTTGGGACAGGGCCAAGTAACATGTGTGCATGTACATGCCACACAGAA